TATATATATATAGCCTGCGAAGTCAGGCGTGGCGGAAGGCCACCGTACACTTCGGTGCCAGTTACAAAACAAAGGAAAAGAAATGAAGAGTAAAGAAAAAATATATATATATAGCCTGCGAAGTCAGGCGTGGCGGAAGGCCACCGTACACTTCGGTGTCGTAGCGGAAGGCTACCGTACACTTCGGTGTCAGTTACAAAACAAAGAGTAAAGAAAAAAAGATACATATATATATAACCTGCGAAGTCAGGCGTGGCGGAAGGCCACCGTACACTTCGGTGTCAGTTACAAAACAAAGGAAAAAGAAATAAAGACAAATATATATATATATATATATAGCCTGCGAAGTCAGGCGTGGCGGAAGGCCACCGTACACTTCGGTGTCGTAGCGGAAGGCTACCGTACACTTCGGTGTCAGTTACAAAACAAAGGAAAAAGAATAAAGAGAAATATATATATAGCCTGCGAAGTCAGGCGTGGCGGAAGGCCACCGTACACTTCGGTGTCAGTTACAAAACAAAGGAAAAAGAATAAAGAGAAATATATATATATATATATATATATATATATATATAGCCTGCGAAGTCAGGCGTGGCGGAAGGCCACCGTACACTTCGGTGTCGTAGCGGAAGGCCACCGTACACTTCGGTGTCGTAGCGGAAGGCTACCGTACACTTCGGTGTCGTGGACGTTGGGCCACCGTTACAAAACGAAACCGCTCGCTCCTCGGCGTAGTCAAGCCCTGCTGGCCAGGCATGCGACCCGCAGGTCGTTTTCAGATAAGACCGGCACTGATTTCGGCAGTCAGAGTCTCAGCATGACCAGTAAGCTCCGGCAGTGATTCCGGCACAGTGTCGCTCATATACGTGTTAATCTATTATCTCTCCTCCCCAGATCACCAGTCACCCCACAAGGTAAGCAACTCAGTTCATCTCAGTATTCATACTTCACTGGTTTTGGGGATTTCATCGGAGCGGTGCTTTCCCTCCTGAATGATTATCCTGCAAACCGGGGGCCTAATCGCCAAACACCATTACATTCTCCTGTTGTACTATCATGGCAATCATTTCATTCATATGACGTGTAAACAATAAATATGTAATTCTTACATCACGTCTCTCCGGGTTGAAATGAAAGCTTTAGCGCAAGTTCAATAAGGAAGACCTAACTCGAGTCACTCACACGTCACTCTATGGCTCCCTTCCCCCCTCATTAAATATGAGGGCGTCATGCCTCAGCAGCCAATCGCTGCACATGCTAAATGCCTTAAATACCTGCTCTTCCTCCCTGTCAGTTGTCATTGCAGATGATCACACGCAACCCGCCTCCACCCCTCTCGCCTCCCGTCTCCTTCAGGACAAAGCTAAACCTTCCTCCTTCAGACTGGTCTCACCTACTCATCACCACCACCAGTGTCTAGACCCCGGGGATTTCATCGGAGCGGTGCTTTCCCTCCTGAATGATTATCCTGCAAACCGGGGGCCTAATCGCCAAACACCATTACATTCTCCTGTTGTACTATCATGGCAATCATTTCATTCATATGACGTGTAAACAATAAATATGTAATTCTTACATCACGTCTCTCCGGGTTGAACTATAATTACCACAAACTAATTTAAATCTGTTTCTGGTCATTTAGGAAGTATTAAATACGTTAGTTAGAAACGGTTTTGTCTATATTGTTTCTGTTGAACCAAGTCTTTTAACAAAACGATTTGTATGTGTACATGTTTTCATGTTATATAATGTATTCATACAATCTGAACAAGGTGACCTGTGAATCTAGTGTGAGAATAAGTATTCAGACCCTTAACTTAAGTAAAAGTGAAAATACTATGGTTTTCAGTAAAAGTCCTGAATTCAAAATGTTGCGTATGTAAAAGTACAAAATGATTGGCTTCCAAATATACTTGAAGTACAAAAAGCAAAATGACTCACTCTGCACAATGGCCAATACCAGAACAGATTATAAATTATAAAACTATCAGCTAAAAAAACTGTAAGTATCAAAATAAAAAGTGCATGTTATGCAGAATGGCTCTTTCCACAGCATTATATTATTATGGTTATTATATTATCCTGTTTTTTTATCATTACAAATTCCTAGCACTTAAAAGTTGTAGTTTGTCAATGTGGAGCCAATTATAGATACTTTCAAAAATACAGGTTTTATAATTTGTAACATACTGCATCATATCATATAGCATTTCATGTGTTTATATATGTAAAAAGTAACTAGTGTACTACTTTATTTGTTGTTTTGTCTGTCTGACTGGTTGTCTGACTGCCTTTTGTTTTGTTATGTTTGTTTTGCCCTGTTCTTCCTTGTAAAGCGACCTTGGGTCTCATGAAAGGCGCTATATAAGTCCAAGCTATTACTATTATTATTAGTACCTGAGTATTAAATATATGTAGTTAAGTACAAATTACAGAGCTGAAGTATAATGGAAAAATATTTCAAATATTACTTCAGTAGGGAAGTTTAGTAAAGGTGTGGATTGGGTGGGATCGATAAGAGATGAGAGGATATGGATGTTAGAATATGGTCGAGGCCTATAATATACGAGAAGACACAGAAACAAAGAGTACGCACAAATCTGAGTTAGGAAGGTAAGAGAAAGCACAAATAAACGTAGCCTTATCGGTTGAATTTGCCTCCATTTAGCCTCCCACTACCCTGAAAAAAAGGGGAAAGTGGGGTTGTTCAATTTGCAAATATGCAGTTAATATATGAGACATCATTTATTCATGTTTCTCGTCGAAACATGAATCAATCATGTAGAACTATGTTAATCTTGAGGGGTGTACGTTCTATAAGTCTCAATCATGTTAAGAAATAAGAAAAAAGTTATGTTTGTCTCTGTAACTCCGCCCACTGAGCACATACGTCGGCAGCTTGCTCCGCAGCCGATTACTCAGCTTCTAATTATTATTTACAAATATTTTATTCACAAATTAATATGGTCGGACTCAAACCCGTACTTTAATAGTTTCGTAATTGAACCTGAACAATATGGCACTTTAATGGACAAGATGTAAAGCAGAAAAAAATTGCAAAATATATTTATTTTTAAAAATGTGAAGCTTTTTCTTTTTTAAACAAAGGAAGGGTTCTACCATATTTTCTTCCCGCATCGGAGGAGTAAGCTGGTTCTGTCCCGAGAACATCTCTACAAGGTAAAAGTTATTTAATGTCATCAAATGTTCATCATAGTTACAGGTTATCACAAGACGCATATAAAAAAGCAGAGTTCACATTTGCCATTACAACGAGCAACGTAAATAGCCTACTGTAGCGACCCTGTATAGGATGCTGAGGGTGTCACTCAGGCATCCCCCGTCTCTCTGCCAATCATAGAGCTGCACAGTGATGCTGGTTGAGGTGCAGGCCTGTGGATGAGGTTATCTGCCGGGAGCTCCAGACAGTGGACGTGGCAGAGTGGAAGCAACAGCAAGAGCTGGACGCCGTTCTACAGCCTGTACTGCAGTGGGTTGAGTCGCAGCAGCGGCCACCGTGGGAGGAAGTGGCAGTGCTCTCCAAAGCAACCAAGGGGCTGTGGTCTCAGTTTGAGACTCTACGTCTGTGTCAGGGCGTACTACAGCGGGCGTGGAAGGAGCCAGCAACGGGGGAGAAGAGGTGGCAAGTGGTGGTCCCGAGGGGTCTGCAAGAGGTCGTACTCAAGGCCATGCATGGAACGGCAGGCTCTGGGCACTTTGGCGTCACTAAGACTCTCCGGCGCCTTCATCACCCTTAGCAAAAAAATCTATAGAATCTTGTAGAAATCTATAGCATGTTATAGAACATAGTCGTATTTGTAAGCCATGCTAAATAATTCTATAGAATACAATAGAAATCTCTAGATCATTCTGTAGAATACTATAAATGTGTACTTTTCTATAAACTTCTATAACAATCTAAAGAATTATATAGGACAGAACCGACTCATGACATATCTGTAGAAATCTATAGCATTCAAAGAAAACATGCATGACATTTTCTCTCTGATGCAACCTATACTAAATTCTATAGAATGATATAAAACTTGTCTTTAAATTGGAATAGAGAAAATCATAGTAACCTACATCATTTTGTGGCACTGAGCTGCTTTGCAAAAGCTGTACGGGTAGATCCCTTTGAAATCTTTACAACTGTATACTGGATTATGTGCCCAATTAAATTATGTAACCTATACATAACCATATACAACATATTGGAATGGAACTCTAAACTGAATGAATGTCACTGTCCTTGTATTCTGATGTAAATGCTCCAGAATTTCTGTGACTGCATCTGTACGTATACGTTGATCACTTTTGTTATGTAACTAATTATCTGTTACAACTGGAGATCAAAGCTAAGTGACATATACCAATATATATTGTTAGTGTGAGTCTGTTACAAACAACTCATTGGAGTCTGCAGTACTCTACTCTGTTTTGCAGTCTATTACACTGTAAAAAAAGAACGTAATTTTACAGGAAATAACTGTAAATGTTTATAGTAATTATCATGTTTTTTTTAAATAACTTGCAAAATCCTGTAAAATGACAGATATTAACTATAAATTAACAACCCCAAACATTATTTTAAGTATTTTGACAATAACAACAAATAACGTTTATTTCCATTTTTTTACAGTAAATGTACTATATTTACAGTATTTTTGCACTTTCAGAAAATACATGCAGATGTACGTAAAATAACAAGTATTATCTCTAATTAAAGGTGGGGTAGGTAAGTTTCAGAAACCGGCTCGAGATACACTTTTTGTTATATTCCATGGAATGCTCTTAACATCCCGATAGCAATGAATATCTTAAGTGCTTTGACAAAAAATCCATAAAAAAATGTCATCTGTGGAAGCCGTAATACTGTAAAAAGTACAACCAATCCGTTTAGCCGGCACAAACCACATGAACAAGTCAAGACACAGTATAGCCATAACATGCTTTAAATAACTTTTATTTATGTAATGTTGTGAGTGAAGTGTGTGATGAGTGATGAGTGTAAAAACATGTCATGTGGATCAGTATCAGTATGTAATTACTCCAGGACCGCCTCGTGTATTTTGAATCTGAGCCTCAGCCTATTTCTCCTGCTGATCAGCCTCATGGTGGGCAAGAGACTCCGGAAAAAGAGCAGGTCTTCGTCCTCCTCCACCACTGGTGGTGGGGGTGGTGGTGGTGGCATATCCAGCATTGGACCTACGGTCAAAAGCAGATTCTCCTCAAAGGGGGACATCTCCCTTCCCCTTCTCTTTTTCCCCCGGAATGCGACTCTTTCCTGTGCTGGCTGACTGGCCGGCTGACTGGCTGGCTGACTGGCTGGCTGACTGGCTGGCTGACTAGCAGGCTGACTGGCACCTGGTTGGCTTTCAATGCTGTCATCCAGGCTCTCTTCCAGGCTGTCTTCCTCTTCCTCTTCTATGGATGTGGATGGAGGCAGGTCTTGCCGGGGGAAATTGCTGGACATCTCGCGGTCAAGCATGAATGGCTTTAAAATGCTCATGATTGCCGCGAGACGCCAGGGCTTAGATCCCCCGGAAGACCCTGCCCCGCTCCTTTTCCCTTCCTTCTCTAATATCCTCTCCTTTCTGTATTTGTCCCTGAGGTACTTCCACCGCTTTTTGCACACTTCCTCTAATAAAATGAAATGAAAGAATACAGTTAATTTCTTGAATTTAAGAAAATGATTCCTCCATTAATGAAAACCAAATCCCTTTATAACTGTCAATTGCATAAAAGGTTTTACATGTCACACTTTATCAGAATCAAAATCAGAAACAGGTTTATTGCCAGGTAGCTTTGCACATACTAGGAATTTGACTTGATGTCATGGTGCATATATAAAAAACAAGAAATCTAATATAAAACACAAAATGTTTTTACATCGTAATAAAATACAGTTAAATTGCAAAAAGATAAAAATTAAATAAAGCAGTAATTTACATGGAAATAGAATGCATGTTTGCATATATATATATATATATATATATATATATATATATATATATATATATATATATATATATATATAACTAAGAAATGTGAAAGCAGAATATGAGCAGAAAGGAGTATGACATTGTGTGCATTAATGTAATGCAATATAGTCTATGATGTGGCAGAGGTCAAGTGTCAGCGGATGATGAACATTTATGTGATTAATGTCTATCGTGCTATTTTATGCTAAATATAGTGGCTAATGGCTATGCTTGCTAGCTATGTTAACACTACGTAAACTGGATATTCAATCCCCAAACAGGCGAAAACCTACCAGTTTCACCCACTGTCTCTGCCACCTCCCTCCATGACTGGTTCCTCCGGTTTGTATCCCGGTAGGTGAAGAGGGTCTGGTCATACAAAACCGGGTGATTTGCTACGGCAATAATCAGTTTCTCCTCCATCTTTTTTTGAAATATAGAAATGAACGGCGGGATATCTCTCCCAGCTTAGACGCGGTTTGATTGGCTACGGCTTGAGCTGTCAGATTTTCCGAAACGGGATTTGATTGGCTGGCGCTGGCTACTCCGGCGTCAGAAGTTGAACATTGTTCAACTTCTGAAGTTGAACATTGTTCAACTTCTGACGCCGGAGACGGACCGCTCTGCTACCCACAATTCAGTTCGGCGAAAAAAAGCGGCAACGTGACGTCACCCCATTCAAAGTGAATGGGCAGATTGAAGCTGTCGACGCTGTAGTGTGGACGGGCCGTTATACACATAAACATGCAGCGGGGTGTCACAGTGTTGTCGCCAAGTTTAATATAAAGTTTCACAGATTTCTTACAGCGGAATCTAGTTTGTTAATGTTCAGTAGCCAACAGCTAGCATAGCATAAACAGCTAACCGCTAACGTTCGGCTAACTTGCTAGTTAGCTCTGCTCTATATATTACAAGCTAACATGACTAGCTAATGTCACACTGTGTGAACCAAAATACTTTTTGTATTACTACATCATACATGCTTGGTCCAAATCACTGCTAACATTTATTATTTTTGAAAATGTATAGTAAAGAAATACTCAGCCATGCATGAAATAACATAGCAAAAGAATACGGGTAATGTTTGACCCATGTTGTGCCTTAGAAGTGTAGTGATACAAACATGATTTTTATTCAAAAAGTAAGAAAGGGAAAAATAAAAATGTAGAATTGGTGTTGATCCAAAACAGGTTAATTGAGGAATACCTGGAATCCTGAATGGTTAAAGTAATTTATTGCAAAGATATTTACAATTAAACTAATTCGGGTCACTTTTGACACATGTTGGTTATATGTTGTGTAACAAAGGGTTAACATGACAGCTGTGATGTTCACTCTTTTGACAGAGCACCAGTGGACAGTGAGGACTATGGAAGAGAAGATGTGATAGCTTTGTGTGGAAAGCTGCTGAAGCCAGCCTGTGTCCCTCTCATCAGTCTCTCCAGGCAGCACCCAGCTATTCTTCCATCTTGCAGATGAAAAGACTTTGATATGTGAGTAATAACTAACTTGTGTCTAACATAATATTGAATGTGTTTTAGTAAAGTATTTAAAAATACCCCACATTGTACAAGTACAGGACAATCAGATCTTGTTCAACAAAGATCATCAGACAATTGTTTTGTCTTTGAGGTACAGCCGCAGCAGAGAGTCTGAGTTTGAAGAAAACACTAAAATTGTATTTAGTGTTGTTTAATCAATCAATATTTACTGGTCTTGAATTTCCTCACTGGATTACAAAATGCTCGAATCTTATTGTACAGGGACATTATGCAGATTCAATCACCTGAAGATGAAAATATAGATTAATCGATATGTACCATTTTAAGGAAATAGACTGTTAGTGGTATTGACCGAAGCTCGACCGAAGCTTGACCAGCTGTAGCTAGGCGCTGCTAATGAAAACTCAAGTGCTCAATTTGTTGGTTTTTCTTTTTTATTAAGAATTGACCAAGCATATCTTCCTCTTCAAAATCCCAGTTGTACTTCGCTAACACGCAGTACCTGGGAGGGTGCGTTTGATTGTTCCCACCCTTACCTCACTTATGGACTAGGTCATGTTAGACAAGCAATCCAGTGGTTAGTTTTAGGGTAACCTCCATTGTTTTATTTTTAATTTATTCACTTTAAGAGAAAGGGATTTCAGAAACAAGTCTCACAAGTTTGGCTCGAGGTAAAATTAACAAAAGCTAACTGTTGTTAGACTATGTTCCACCCTTCTAAACTTATGAAATAATCAATGCCCTTGGGATGCTCTCAATAACGTGTGTGTGTGCTTCAAAGGTCCATCATACAAGATTTAGGGGATCTATTGGCAGCTGCTGATAATAACATCCATCATTATGGTTTACTAATAGTTATCACTTCACTTCCTCCTCCAGCACCTGGACACAGCAGGAACCTACGCCAGGATCCTGTTTGTGGATTTCAGCTCCGCCTTCAACACCATCCATCAGGACCAGAACCTCTCTCCATCAGGACCAAAACCTTTCTCCATCAGGACCAGAACCTCTCTCCATCAGGACCAAAACCTCTCTCCATCAGGACCAGAACCTCTCTCCATCAGGACCAGAACCTCTCTCCATCAGGACCAAAACCTCTCTCCATCAGGACCAAAACCTCTCTCCATCAGGACCAGAACCTCTCTCCACCAGGACCAGAACCTCTCTCCATCAGGACCAAAACCTCTCTCCATCAGGACCAAAACCTCTCTCCATCAGGACCAGAACCTCTCTTCATCAGGACCAAAACCTCTCCATCAGGACCAGAACCTCTCTCCATCAGGACCAGAACCTCTCTCCATCAGGACCAAAACCTCTCTCCATCAGGACCAAAACCTATCTCCATCAGGACCAGAACCTCTCTCCATCAGGACCAGAACCTCTCGCCACCTCAACAAGGCCCGCCCCCCCCCCCCCCCCCCCACTGACACGTTACCTCAGCCACAAGGCAGACTCTGCATGGAGATCACAGGATGGTAAATAATGCAATGTTTAAATATTGCTTACTGCAATTTTATATTCTATAATTTATTGCATTCTATTTCTTAATATAGTTCGCTATCTGTGTACTTTTTTAAATGTTGTATTTGTATGTACGACACCTCCTCATACGTGTGAACCTACCTGGCAATAAACCCATTTCTAATTCTGATCTTTTTGTCCTCTAGGTTGCACTGCCACGTCTACAGTAGCGCAGAATGGACAGAGGAAACATGATTGGGCCTCAAGTTTTTTGCAGCCAATATACATTATCCTACAACTTGGGATAGGAGGGTGAGTGAACAAGTTATCCATTGGTTGGAATTTACCATTGTTAGACGTACTAAATCCTCCACACTGCTCCTTCAAATTGACAATGTGAACATATGTCGCCATTTTGTAATTTCTGTTATTTTCAGTTGAGAATGTTTCAAAGTAATCTTAAAAAATTCAACTTACTTTTTGTTTCTACTGTTTATAAGTATGATGTTTAAATATGAAATGCTGTATTCATTAGTTGTAGTATAATTCTACAAATATTTTTATATTTTAAGTTTTCAGAGTAATTGTTTCCTACAGAACATTTTGTGATGTAATTTTGTTGAACCTGTTTGATTGGAAAATGTTAGAAAAAAGCTGCAAAATAACAGTATTTTCCCGTTAGAACTTTAGGTTCTGTATTTATTTTAGTGTTTGATCATACAAATCTAATTTTTTTTAAAAATGTAAAAAACTGTTTTTCTCATCAGAACTTTATTTTTTTGGTATTTTAATGTAACATTTTAAGACAATGGATTTTGAAAAGAGAGGAAAGTTTCCTCTAAAATCTTAAAGGACAATGTCTGTATACTAATTGCTTTTGCACTTTATTTCAGTTAAAGTATTTTTACTTAATTTACTTAATTTTATGGTTTTTGTTTGGCAGCCAGTCATTTGACCGTTTTTTTACGAATGTTTTGCCCGTAGAAGTATTAGTGCTGTACTTTTATTAAAGGTTATTGACTGTAAAAAGAGCAGATAAATCTGTAAAATTACAGTGTTTTCCTGTAAAATCTTTAAGGACAATTCCCGTAAATTAATGTTATAAGTTCTGCAGAACAATTTCATAGAAAACAATAGCAATTTTCTATAGGATTCTATAAATTATTTGGTGGAATCTATAGTAAAATTCATAGGTGAATTCTATAGAATATTTGCCAATATCTTGCAGTATATTCTACAGAAATTCTATAGAAACATCAATAGATTTTTCTATAGATTATTTTGCAGAATCTATAGTAAAATCCATAGGTAAATTCTATAGAATATCTGCAAACATTCTATAGAAGTTCTATAGAAATGTCCACAGATTCTATAGAATATAGGTCACAAATTCTATAGTATTCTACAGAATGGTATTCTACTGAACAGTTCTATAGAAAGCATCCATGGGGTTTTCTATAGGATTCTATAGATTATTTTCTACAAAAAAACCATCTACACAGTATATATTTTCTATAGTACTATAGTATTCTATAGATTATTTCCCAGAATCTATAGTAAAACACGTAGGCAATTTCTATAGTATATCCGCAAAAATCCTGTAGTATTCTACAGAAAATTTCTATAGAATTCGTCCATAGATTTTTCTATAGTATTCTATAGATTTGTTTGCTAAGGGCAGGGCTGCTACTGGGGGCAGTGCAGGAGGGATGTCGAAGACTTCTGTCGCCGCTGTGATCCGTGTATGGCTCAGAAGGGCCCCCCTGGTCGTTCCCATGCTCCGCTGCAACAGTTTCTCGTGGGGGCCCCGATGGAGAGAGTAGCGGTTGATGTGGTGGGGCCTCTAACTTTGTCAAACAGGGGTAACCGCTACGTTCTCACGGCCATAGACTATTTCACAAAGTGGCCAGAGGCGTATGCTCTCCCTGATCAAGAAGCAGAGACAGTCGCAGATGCCTTGGTGGCCGGCATGTTCAGCCGGTTTGGAGTGCCGGAGACCCTGCACAGTGACCAGGGGAGACATTTCGAGTCCCGGGTGTTCGCCTCCATGTGCTCACAACTGGGCATGCACAAAACACGCACCTCCCCCTTACGACCTCAGAGCGACGGACTAGTCGAGAGATTCCATCGCACCATGGGACAGCAGCTGGCCATCCTCACCTCTCAGCATCAGTGCGACTGGGACGAGCCTCCAGGGTCTGAGTACGCCAGGAGACTTCAGGACCGCCTTGATTCCGCTCACGCCTTTGCCCGCGATCAGCGGAAAACTGCTGGGGTGAGACAGAAGCGGAACTATGACACCAGGACAAGAGGGCAGCATTTCCGGGCCGGGGAGCTGGTTTGGGTCTACAGCCCACAACGAAA